AATTAAACAAGCTAAATCGGCGCTTTTCTGGTAAATATCCTTTAACTTCACCGGCATTTCATACAATCAGCTGTTTTTGTTTACAAATTACGTCACATGTTAGTGGACCAGTGACGAGAATCTCATGAATATTCATTTATTTCTACAGAACTCGCTCGAGAACAACTTTCGATGTTGACAACATAAAAAGTCGATTTTACGAGAAGCCTGTAGTTTTATTACTGGATTATGTTTTACTTCAAATTTTAAAAACTGTGTTTAAAAACCGTTTTTTTTAAACCTCATTTTTTACAAGGAATTCATTTCTGGGCTTATTTTGACGATTTTTGCCCTTTTTATTGATTTTTTCGATCGCGATACCGTAATTTGATTACGATATGATCTGAAGTTCCCTGTTTCGTTGCCTTACCTGTTATACCGTGTACAAATATGTATAGAAACAGGCGCAGATCCTAGAATTTCTAGTGGGGGTCCACTCCAGTGAAAAAAAAAAAAATTGTTGACAAGCAAAAAAAGAGAGGGAGGGGGGTGTTGACTTCCAAATCTTCTTCATACCTATTCATACTTATGACTTTACATACCAACTTAACTATATCCAAGTTTTTGAGTGGGAGGGGGGGGTTCCAAGGTCACTTTTTACTTTAGCTCTGCATATTCCAGGGTTGGTCCGACCCCCCCCCCCCCCCTTTAGATCCGCGCATGAGAACGTAACAGTTACTTAGATATTATTAGATATTCTTCTACATTAATTATCTTCAGGGTTTTCATTCACGTCTTAGATTTTATAATGCCAAGACTGAATAGATCAGCCATTTCTAGAATTATAATAAATACCTAGCTTTTACTACCTCACTTGATCATTCTGGCAAGTTGAGAATTATAACCTAGGATATTTGTTTGAGCTTGCCGGAAACACCCAAGAAGATGCAACGACAAAATGGGACCGCACTGGAATATTTTAAACTTGGTGTCCATTTGTTCCTTTGGTCTCTTATTTTCACCTCAGATTGAAACTAGAACTGTCCAAAAGGGACAAAATACCCCCGCTGGGTTTTTCAGGGGTGCTAATTCATGAATATTTTATGAATCTTTCAGAAGAGAGAAATGCTAAGACATTTTTAGTGCAAATGTAATTGCTCATTATATTTTTTAGGTACAGCCTAATAAAAAAATAAAGACTAAACATAAAGACAAAACATGAATTATAAACTTTTTCTGTCAGTGACCTTGAACTTGCATAAATGACCTTGATTCAAAGTCATGACACAACCTCGGGTTATAAGCAATCTTTGTGTGAAATGGGATTTCACCACATTTATCCATTAGACAGATATGGACCAGACATGAATTGTCATTTTTTTCTGTCTGTGTCCTTGAACGTGCGCAAATGACCTTGGGTCAAAGTCATGACACACCCTCAGGTCATAAACAATGTTTGTTTAAATGAGGAACCCTCCACGTTTATCCGTAAGAAAGATATGGACCAGGCACAAATTATGAACTTTTTTCCTTTCAGTAACCTTATACTTGCACAAATGACCTTACGGTAAAGGTCATGACAAACCCACAAGATGTATGCAATCTTTCTATAAAACAGGAACTTACCAAGTTTTTCCATAAGAAAGATATATACTAAACATGAAGAATTATTAACTTTTTCTTTCAATGACCTTAAACTTGCACAGATGACCTTGCATCAAGGCCATGACACACCCTTAGGTCATGAGGAATCTTTGTGTGAAATCATGAGGAGTCTTTGTGTGAAATAAGAATTTACCAAGTTTATCCACAAGCAAGATATGGATCGTAAACGGATTGTGACATTTTTCCTTCAGTGACCTTGAACTTAAATGACATTGGCTCAAGGTCATAACACACCCTCAGGTCATTATCTTTCAGTTAAGTAGTAAATTCAAGTTCTTCCACAATAAAGATATGTACCAAAACATTAATTACAAAATTTTTCTTTCAGTGACCTTGAGCTTGCATAGATGACCTTGTGTCAAGGTCATGACACACTTTTAGGTCATGAACAATATTTGTGTGAAATAGAAGCTTACCAAGTTTATCTTAAAGAAAGATATGGACCCGACTCGATTTATAAAATTTTTCTTACAGTGACCTTCAACTTCCCCTATTGACCTTGAGTCAAGGTTATGACACACCCTTAGGTCATAAGCAATTTTTGTGGAAGTGGTAGATTCTAATGTTCCTCTGTAAGAAAGATATGGACCGGACACATTTGCACAGACAGACGGACAGCTAGACAAACGGACGGACGGACAAGCTGATTCCTCTATACCCCCCCAAACTTCGTTTTCGGGGGTACTTTAACAGTAAACTACAGAATGCTTAAAGCAGAGTTATTGAGTTGTGTCATTGTCAAGTACTCTAGAATGCATCATTTTGAATTGAGACCCCCCCCCCCCTTTCACTAGATTAGTACATCACCGTGCATTTTTATCAATAATTTATCTATTCAACAAATTAAAGTTCCAATGGATCTGATGTCTCCTTCTGTGTTTTATGATGGTTACATTGCTAACTCACCTCGCTTTTTAAAAGAATGGTTTGTAGGTACTAGAAAATAGTGAAATGGTAATGTCTTCTTCTATTTCAGTCACCCGCGTGGCGCAGTGCATGTTAGAGCGTCTGCTCTAGAGTCGCTAAGTAGGGAGTTGATCTTTACGTCGCGGGTTCTAATCCCACTATGGGACGTGGAGACCGGTCCTTCGGAAGAGACCGTATAAACCGAGGTCCCATGTCACAAAAGGTGCTGGTACAAAAAAGATCAATCACTGCCCTTGAAAGGGCCGTAAGTGCCGAGTATGGAAAAAAAAATGGCAGCTCACCGTCTGCAAGTAGTGGTGTCTCCATAAGAGTGAAAAATTCTCGAGAGGGATGTTAAACAACATATATGTAATGAATCTTTCAAAACCAATAGACCTTTTCACAAAGAAAAAATGTCTTGATTAAGTTTCAACCTTTAGAGAAATCTTAACGAGTTTTCACAAAAATTCTTAGAGGTTCTTTTCTGTAAAATTTAATGCTTTATGAGAGCCTTTATATTTCATATAGAATAGCATCGTCTCAAGCCACGGTCCGGAGTCCGCATATATAGCTCTCTCCTACCCGTGGCTGCTTGATCACAAAAAGTGTCGTAATCTTGAATATTTACGCCCCTCTATTGTGACGTCATATTCAGTCAGTGGCAAGTTTTGTTTCCATCGCAATCGAAATCAACAACTGACGTCAACAGTATACAAGAAATATTTCCTATACTGCGATTGGATATTGAAAGGTCACGATAAAGTTCATCATCCGACTATGCTTTTACTCGCATTTGTGAATATTTTAATGAGCTACGAGGAATTATCTCCTCGTTCAACCACGGCCAGATGGGAGAGGAGCGTACATTTTGGCCGTGGTTTGCGACGATGATAGAATAGTAGCTAAACTAAATTAATTTACGATATTATATCCATGGTAATGATAAAAATATACTTTTTGAAGAAACGCGAATATTAAAGCTACTTTTTTTTAATCAGTTAGTTTTGCCCATATGCAAAAACCAGGGGACAAGTACAGCTGTTGAGTATTTTGCAAACAAAAAGTTTGTTTTCTGGCCAATGTGCCACTTATTACCATGGCAACCCAAGAATTAGCTATTATTCTAGGGAATCTTTACAACAATAAAGATATTTTTATACATACTGCTTGTATCTATTTGTTTTTATTTTTCATTCAAAATGCCTTTTTACGGAAAATCTCATTTCAACCTCCAAAATAAATGTCTGTAAGTAAAAAAGGTAAAGTGGTTACGAAATTGGTTGCTAGGTATTCAGAATTGTTGCCATGGGTTAATAAAGTAAAATTTACATTCATCAGACTAATTTAAAGATCAGTGATTTTCAGTGCCTTTACTTGGAAAAACTGGCTGGTTGCTAAGGAAATTACTTTGACCAGGTTTCCGTAGTAACCATAATCCAAAACAATTTTTATTTTACAAACATGGATCATAGGACATTAGAAATCTATGAGTGGAAAATCATTGAATTCTGTAGAACCTGAGTGAATCACCTTTTTGCATGATTTTTATATGGACTGGTACTTAAAATCCTTCTCAGTGTCATATTTCTGTGCACTTATATCCTTTAAGTCATATCCTTTAACTCTTCACAACTTGCTGAACTGTGACGCAACATACACTTAACTATCACGTCATAGAAATATGACGTTACCTTTTCCCCGCAAGCACTTTATAGCGCGATTCAAGTTTCTCTAAAGTTAAGCGTAAATAATAAAAAAAGAAAAAAACAACTTTACGTATTAAATATATATAATTTTTTTTTTTGCAACGTGCAGTAGTTATTGTTTAAGAACTTCAAAATGCATTTGAAAACAAGAAATGTTTATGATTTATATATTAGGTTTTAAGGTTTAAATTTAATTTTTTAAAAATACTAGTATTATTATTTTAAAGAAATAAATTATCAATTTATTTGCACTACCGACAGTGAAACCTACGAATTTTAAAATAAACCCCCCGAAAATTGATGTATTATTTGAAAGAAATCAGGAAATTGCAGTAATTTATTTTATCAGTCAAACAATAACTTTATTCCTCTTGCTGTTGTTGGTTTCCATGATAATCATTAAAACAGGAATTGCTGCACAAGTGAATATTGCAGACGCCACACCCGTAGCAAGTGTCTTTTCTTTTCCTGGGTGTTAACACGAAACACCGCTTGCAGTAGGACCTGGATCTCCCCAACCTTACAAATATATGGCCTGTCATACTTGGAAGTTTGTGACTTGAAATAGGTTCTTCTCTCCCAGAGAATTGTCCAATCAATTGCTCCGCTAACGCCAATCGAGAATCAAGTTGACTGTATCTTTTCTTCCTTGACTGACCACTTTCTTTACAGATAATAAATGAGTCGATGACGGCCAAGTTAAGAAGGAAATACAATAAGTATTTCCACCATTTTCGACTCTGTCTACCTATAGTGTACTTCGATCTGATCAAAAATATCCACCCCTCGGAAATAATTCTGGTAATTTGCGATGGACTCGGGACGGCGAACTATCACTGTAGATCCGTCCTTCAGTCTCCGTGAGGCGGGTGCACTTTCATGTAGCGGAGAAGAATTCGTCGCTAGCACAGCCACGGGTCTCATATCCATCCAGACGGTGGCCGTCAATTGTCCATCCTGTCTATAAATAAAATTTTAATCCATGTTCATGTATTTTAAACTCTTTGAATTCACTGGAATGAATTGCATATTTAAATTCTTCAGTTGAGTAATTTGACACTGATTTGGAATTTCATATTTCTAAATTTCCAAAAAAAAAAATGATCAGTAGCAAATTAGTACCTGATGAGATAATCCCCTTTAAGTGTGGGGAGGGACTTCAAGTCCGTGGGAAAGTCCTTCCTGGTCCTTACTATAGTGCCACAGGAGAAGATTTTTTTTGATAACAGAACTTTAGCTAATGTTATCGATGTGAAGAAACTGTCATAAAATACATGCAAGGTCTTGCCAACAAGACTCTCGGTAAGTCTCTCTACCACACCCCGGCCCAGCGGAATACTCTGTCGCTGACCACATGCTCTCCCCATATACACCTCAAACTGGTGACAAAAACCAGACACACTGTCGCAGCGTAACCACAACTTAAGGCCCCAGCGAACAGGTTTTGATGGTATATACTGTTTAGCCTAATATATGTTTAATATAATCAAGAATAGTTCTAATTAATGGACATTCCATTTTTTTAAATTTACATAATTTCGCACAATTTGTCTTTTTGTAGATGGGCTTTTAAAAAGTTTCAATTTTTTTGATTGAAGTTGTGGAAGTAAAACTTATTAAGAAATATTTTTTAAAAATAACCAACCGTATGGCGGCCTTTGTAGGCAATCATCCCTTCATCAATTGTTTGGTACTGCCCTGGACTGTATGACTTATTTATGTTCTCTGACACCATGTCCAACAAGGCACGGATTTTAGATAATTGATCATTGTCATCAGTAACTGAACTACAATGTAGATACTGAGTGAGTTTTTCATACCATTTTACTGGCATGACATTCTGAAAACCCGCATTTGCCAAGAACTTGTTTTTACTCCAATAAAGTTTATAATCCGGTAGCTTGTTGATGCCCATTAATATCAAAAGCCCAATATACCTTTCATCTCTGCAGTTGTGCAATTGTACCAATGCGGATCATGACCTGTAACATAGATAAAGTGGGAACTTTTATTATATCATTGTCTGTCCGCCGTGACCAAAGATGAGAATTTTGTATAATCTTTCAAAAGATTTATAAATTTTGAATTATTTTAATGAATGAAATTTATTCATTTCCTAGAGGGGGGGGGGGGCTTACAAGGGTTCCGCCCCCTTTTTTATTTCATTTCCTAAAAAGGGTACTGATAAAAAAAAATGCCAGTACACAATATATACCCCGATATATTATTTTTTTCTGCAGATAAGAAATGTAAACCATGCATACCAGTCAAATTAATGTTATAGATGCTAGACTGGTGTAGAACCCTGATCACAAAACGATTGAAAGAAAAAGAGAAGAAAGCATCATTTAAAGTGAATTATTCCAAATGATAATTATAACCAATCAATCTTATACTAATTTTGTAGGAATTAACCTTCAATATTTATTTATTTATCGTAGAATGTTTGTTTGATAAGTACAATCAGGAGTGCTAATTACAGCTTACTGTTGAAAATGAGAGAGAGAGAGAGAGAGAGATTTTATTTTAGCACTCTGTTTATGTAATAATAGTAGGCTCCTAAACTATATAATACGTGATTTTGAAAATCAGACAGTTTCAACCAAATTTGGCATATAGCATCTATAGGTGAAGGGGAACAAAAATTGTGAATTTCATGGTCCCAGCCCCCCTGGGGCCTGGGGGGTGGGGCAAAAACCACTAAAATTAGTGCAATCTTTAAAAATCTTTTTCTTTACTCCTGGACATCAAGCAGTCAAACTGTTGGTATGATTGTAATCAGCTGTAAGTCTTCTACCTAAATTGTGAAATTCATGGCCCCAGGGTCAGGGGTTCTAGTGCTAGGGCGGGGCTAAATAGGTTATATAGTGAAAATGCATTATTTCTTTGAAATTTTTCTTTTCTGCTCCTGGGCATTAAATAAACTAACCAATGCAAGTGCATAGTTGAGTTGAAAATGACTGCCTTTTCTAAAATTTTGAATTTAATGACCCCAGGGTCAGGGGTTCTAGTGCTAGGGCGGGAACATATAGATAATTATAGTGAAATTGCAATAATTCTTTGATATTTTTCTTTTCTGTTTGCTGGCATTAAATAAACTAACCAAGTGCATAGTTATGTTGAACAAGGCTGCCTCTTCTAAAATTGTGAATCTAATGGCCCCAGGGTCAGGGGTTCTAGTGGCAGGGCGGGGCTATATAGATTATATAGTGAAAATGCATTATTTCTTTGATATTCTTCTCTTCTGCTCCTGGGCATTAAATAAACTAACCAAGTGCATAGTTATGGTGAATAAGGCTGCCTCTTCTAAAATTGTGAATTTTATGGCCCCAGGGTCAGGGGTTCCGGTGTTAGGGCGGGGCTCTATGGATTATATAGTGAAAATGCATTATTTCTTTGAAAATCTTGTTCTCTGCTCCTGGGTATTAAATAAACTTAGTACATAGTTATGATGAGTAAGAGTGACTCTTCCACAATTGTGAATTTTATGGCCCCAGGGTCAGGGGTTCTGGTGTTAGGGTGGGGCTCTATTGTTTATATAGTGAAAATGCATAAACTCTTTAAAAATCCTTTTCTGCACCTGGGTATTAAACCAATGAACTATGTACATAGTTATGAGGAGGAAGGATGCCTCTTTCAGATTTGTGAATTTCAGGGCCCCTGGGTCAGGGCTTCTTGTGTCAGGGTGGGGCTCTAATGTTTATATAGTGAAAATGCATAAATTATTTGAAAATCTTTTCTTTTGATCCTGGGTATTATGGCATTGATCTTAGTATATATTTATGACGAAGAACGCTGTTTCTTCCAAAAATGCTGCTGAATTTCCTGACCCCTGGGACGGAGGTACTTCGAGAGGGGGGGATTGGGTGTCTGAAAATGATTTCATGCTTTGAAATCTGCACTTTGGTATTAATCAACAACATGGTGAAATAAAATTTATAAAATTTCCAAAATTTTGAAAGATGTGGCCCCAGGGTCAGTGGTTCCTGTGGGATGGGTGCACAACTGATAATGACAAAGTGGAAATGCATTTTCTCTTTGTTACTGTGATCTACATGTACCTCTGGGTATTACTAACCAAAGTGAGTATGCTGAGTGCATAATTATGATAAGCAATGGTGCCTCTTTCAAAATTGTGAATTTCATGGCTTCTAGATTAAAACATGAATCAAATTCAATGGATGGAAAGTTGTTGCATGATACTCAGGTGACCAATAAGGCCCATGGGCCTCTTGTTTCCTGATACGAGTATTTATTTCCTTGCAAAAATTTATGCCATGTCGTTTTCCGGTAGAAATGATATCAAACAAAAATTGAACCGGAATAACATGACACAAAATAATTTTAAATTGTTAATACATTTAAGCACAATATTTTTGTGGATGATAATGTGATTTTTTAACTCCAAATATCTTTCTATCTTCATTTTTTTTCTTAAATAATTATGCGTACGCAATTACATTTCGACAGCTGGTTATGCACTTGGTTCCTGCATTTCTGCTGTTCTGCTCAATCAAGTACAGCATTTCTATTGTATTGAAAAGTAATTTTTATAATCAATACTATTTTTCTTACCATTCTGTCTTTGCTGCATACATGCATATTTGTTTGTTTCTGCTGTTAATATTCTCAAGCAATCAACATCAAAAATAAGCTGAAAAAAGTCTTTTTCTTTAGTGTCATTCTCCAGATTATGTGTGGGTCCGGTGGTGCCAAGAAAAGGCGGGAGCGCTATTTCTTCTAAACCTGAAGTCCAATTTGGTGCGATGCCCTCGCTTTCTTCAACATCACTACCGCTGCTAGACTCTGAGTCATAATCAAATGGACTTTCGTCACTGTCGGTCTCTCCTTCATCTGAACTTTGGTCAGAATTATAAAGACTCCGAAAAATATCGGAATTTGCTATTGGAGACGAATTTGTCAAATTTCTTTCATATTCACAAAATCAATAATATTGCGTCATCTTTACTCAATAATGACGTTAAAAATCGATTATGACGTAATATTTTAATCAGATTATAACTTTTTTTTATTTTAAGAGATATTAACAAGTATAAAATAGAAGGGAATCGGCATTAAACTGAAGATTAAACGTACTTTTGAAAGTGCGTGAAAAGTGCGTGATTGCGGGGAAACGGTAAATGCGTGATTTTGCGTCAGTAATAGGAAACGTGATATGCGTTAAAATGCGTGAGTGCGGGGAAGGGGGTTAAGTCATCTCGTAGTCCCGTTCACAACATTTCATGTAGCATGCTATTTACCCACGAATTATTGACTACTCCTTTCTTTAATCCTCTCCCGATGATATCTTGTAATCTACCACTCAATGCTGATACATCTTCATCTTCTCTTTGCTTGGAACTGTAAAATTCTGCTAGTAATTGTTCCTTGTTTGCTACACTCCCATAAAAACTGTCTGGAGTTTCTTACACTATACTTAAAGGTTTGTCAAGTCCTTGATAGATTAGCATTCGTGCTGCCAATCCAGTCAAAGAACGACAAATAGCAAGATCTTTCTGTTCCTTTCGGTCTTTCATAACCATTTTGACTTCATATCGCCATATGTCGTAAGTTATTTCTCCTGTTGTTGTCAACGACAGAAAATGTTCCAATCTTTGGAGGATAGAGCGATATAGTCTTTGCTAGCTCTACTGGTCAGAGACCAGAAGAGCTTACGCGATAGTAATGCGTCCGGCGTCCGTCCGTCTGTCTGTCTTTCTGTAAACAATTTTTCATAACGCTACTCCTTCTACAGTTTTGGTCAGATTTCAACACAACTTGGCACGCAAGTAGACTACACTAAGATACATAATTCTCATCTTCGCTAGCCAAGGGTTTCTGATACGCTACTCTCCTCCTGAAAGTAGCGTATCAGAAACCCTTGGCTAGCGGAGATGCGTAATTCTGTATATCGGTTTTAGATTTCCATGAACGGTGTTGCCGTTGTTACTAAAAATAGAAATTTCTGTGAAATACTTTTAAAATGCTACTCCTCCTACAGTTTTGGTCAGATTTCAATATAACTTGGCACGCAAGTAGACTACACTAAGATTCATAATTCTGTATATCAGTTTTTGATTTCGATGAACGGTGTTGCCGTTGTTACTAAAAATAGAAATTTCAATTAAGTGCTTTCAAAATGCTACTCCTCCTACACTTTTGGTCTAATTTCAACACAACTTGGCACACAAGTAGACGAAACTAAGATACATAACTCTGTTTACCGGTTTTTTGATTTCGATGAACGGTGTTGTCGTTGTTATTAAAAAATAGAAATTTCTGTGAAATACTTTAAAATGCTACTTTTCTCTTCCTCTGTTATAAATACAAACCAGTACAGCTACAGTCTTGACAGAGACTTCTGGTTTTTGTCATTGAATTGCCCCTTTTCCTTCTGTTGATAAAGTCAAAGATGGAACGTTTGGTTTGATATCTTGATGGACATTTTTTGAGTAAGAAATGTACCCGTTTATCCAGTTCAGCTGGGTTATTTTCCTTAGAATGTGGTCCCACAGCCTGAAATGTTTTAAATAGCTTATCATAGACTATCTTTTCGACTGGTTGGAAAGTAATAGGACGGTAGGTTGTGTTGTTGTACTCTCCTCTTTGTCTGCCATGGTGAACTTTGTATAATCAGGTCACAAAATAAAGATTAATCAAGTATTTACACCAACAAATAATAAAAAACAAACTATTTACAAAATACAAAGTCAATGTTCCTCCATAGTCGTGGATAATAATTATAAAAATCGACTGCAATGACAAAATCAATCTGCTTACATATTCCACAATTGTGATCTTCAATCAATGGAATAAATCAGATGCACATCAAGAAGCGGTAAGCAAAACACGAACAATCGAAACTTGCAAAACCATTACATAAACGGTCCACTATTAACACAGTAATATGCATAA